TGCCTAACAGTGCATAGTGATGCTAGTCATGACATACCAGTTTCATTTCTTTCTAAGCACTTGCTGAGGAGGAGAACAGCAGTGCAACATGAAAAGGGGAAAGCACACACATTCCATAGAACTAGCCCAGTCACCTGTACTGCCAGGCACTGGAATCTGTCTTTTAAAAGTGCTGGGTGGTGTGTAGGTACATGCAGGCATGTGTGTTATTTACACACACCCACTCACACCTGGTACTTTATATTTAAACATTCTTTTTAACACAAGATTTGCACTATATGTTTTCTTCTACAAAAACATGCACAAATGGTATTATTGCACACTTGAATCCTAGTTAGCAGCAAACAACCAATAGTTACAGTTAGAACCTGTAATGAAAAACAAACAAAAAACAAACAAAAATAAATAAATCAGGATATTAATTTTAAAATTTTAAGGACTTTTAAAGCTCTTTAAAAACTCTTCCTTTCCTGGTTGTGAGTTAAAATATGCATCTGTCCCCAAAGGATCGGTGGTCAAGAGTTCTTACTGGCAGAAAGATAAAACACATAATTGCACTGCTGCGGAGTATTAAAGAAAAAGATGCTGTGAAATTTACACAGGAATGCCTTAAATGATGTTGCTGTGACTGAATCTGATTGCTTACCCTACCAAAGTTGTTCTTTTTAGTAGGGCAGGTCTGAGAGAAGGGAACTGCAACAGAAAGCAGCCACCAGGGGGATGAGATCAAGAAATACAAGATGCAGTGCTGGAAAGCCCTGAACCAACTACTGTACGTAGTGTCAACAATAAGCAATTGGTAGGATTCAGGACCAGGGACAGTTCCCTGAGGCAACAGGTTGGTCAACAAACTGCAGCAGACGCTCACCCTTGCAGAGGGATCAGACTTTGGAAATGTTTTTGTTTGGACGGTATCTATCAAACTCCCCAGTCCACACTGTTCAGTGTCCATCCTGGCTGGGGGATTCTGGGATTTATAATCAATTTTTCCCATCTCTTTCTGAAGTGTAACAAGAGTTGTGTGGCATCTTTAAGAGCACTATGGCTATTTTCAGAGCATGAAATTATAACATAAGTTTTCAAGAACACACAGTATGCTTCCTCAAAGGCCTCTCAGGAAGTGGGAGGTGTTTTTATTGACACTTCTGTTATAAAAGTGCTGTTAGCCTTAAAGGTACCACATATGTCTCTGTTATTTCTAATCTCTGAAATTGAACATATCCCAGTCCTCTCAACCTGGAAGCCTATGCCTTGGATTAAAACTCCTGTCATTCACAGCAAGCAAGGCAAAAAGAAGTGGAAATGCTCCTTCTAAACTAGCAGGATCGGTCCCCTAGAGTACTGAATCAACTCTCAAGCCATCCAAAATGGAATTGTACCATCCTAGTGATTAATACAAAACTCTTTACTTCAGTTTTCTTTCTAAACACCCATACATATCACTAACATTCGGTGAAATTCACATTCCTCCAATAAAAGCCACCAGGAGGTACTAAATAAGACATTAGCAAAAGAGGAATATTGTTTTTTTAAAGTTCCACATTAAAAAAATATTATCCCCCCCTTATTATAATGAGAAACAAAACCACTGCCTAACAAAAACCCTTCACAACAGAAAGTTTAGCTATATGGTTTGAATCAAGGACAAACATTAGAAACAATCCAATTATTAGCCAATATACATGACCAAAGCAACAGCCCCCTTCACAAAATGTCCATGACATCAAATATAATTGTTGAAGCTGGTGGTTGTATGACACAAAATTACTGGTGCATAGGTAGTTGTTTTTGATGTGCTGCACACCATGTTTATTATATTCTTCCTTCTCTGTTCATCCTTTGCTTCAGCAGACAAACTCAGACTGAATGACAGTCATTTAAGGACGCAGTTGTGAAGCTATGCCTTTGAGTCCTTTGTGAAAAGGAATCAAAGAAGAAACCCACAGAACTTAGAGAAAACTTAGAGAAAATATGCTCCAATACATACTTACATGTCACTTCATACCCATACTGCCAAAGTGCATATGGCACTCCATACTACACCAGGTCAAAAATACTGGAGGACAATTCTGCTGCTATATAGAAACACACTGCCAAAACCATCCACAAACAGGCAGCAGTAACACAACTAAGTTCAGACTGCTGATACCAGTGCTTGACTTATACAGTAGCCATGGACAGCTGTGGGGTGGTACTGCCCTTTCCCTTCAAACCACCCACCCATCCATCCCAATTTGTGTCAGTACAGTTTGCAATGTGGAGTCTGGAACTGGTGGCACTTAATTTTTGAGAAAAATTAAATCCCAAAGGGAGAGTGATTTAAAAGGTGGACATAGTTATAAAATTGCCTCTGCTAATTACCTTAATTGGATTATGACTGGATTTTAGGGATGGCGGGAGACAGAAAAAAACATGGAGCGCAGAAACATTAGAACATATTCCATGGAAGTTGATTCATTTTAAACAATTTTACTTTTCTTATTTCAACTTTATTGCAATTTGATTGCACTTTATTACAAATCTTGTAACTTTCTCAGTTTTCTATAGATGATTCATAGGCATGCATGAGTATATGAGAGAGGGGTCTGTGTGTAAGTGTGTAGTATAGTGTGTTTGTGTGTATGTTTGCATTTTCTGTAAGATTAGAAAGTTTGGTAATTTTTCTGTAGTTTTTCATAAATCTTTTTATTCTGGTGTAAATACAGTTTGTAACATCATTTTGTAAATTTGTAAACAGACCAGTATGCATAGCATGCAGACACTCTCTGTGAATATTCATATGATGTGCGCATCAAGATGTGAAGGCACATCTGTTTGAGCGTGCATGTGCTGAAGTGTGCTTATATCGTCTCATATCTGTGATGGCCATTAACACACTGTACTCTGGCTATAGCAAGTCTTCTACTGTCTCAATACATGAACATATAAGCAGAATAACCTCACCCTCCTGTCTTCTCCATATGCTTAATAATTAGATCATTGTTTGATCTTAAATTGCTAGTACTCAAAATTATTTCTTTTCACAACAGTTTTAAACAATACAGATGCAATTCATCTGTGACCAGAGTTTGTATTGCATCTGCATCTTTCTTTCTTTCCCCTCTGTATGCAAATGAAGACCTCTTTCATCTATGTAGGTGGGTGGGTGAGAACAATCCTTGTGCTTATTTAAAAAGGAACATTTTACATTGTCAGAAAGAAGTAAAAACAGTCTCCAAAGGAATCAAAATCTGATCCAATGACTTCACATTTATCCATATTTCATTGTTTCTTTCCACACTGCTTTTAAATTTTAATGTTTTCTGCAAGATGTCTCATGACTTTTTTTGCTTAGCATTCCAACTTTACATTTAATTGTACCCCATTCCACTGAGATTGAGAAGTTAACTACATGTATTGTTAATTATCTTTTTAATTGGGACCTGACAAGCTTTCTTCTTAACCAAATCTCTGATCCTAACTGCAAAGATAAAAATTAAGATTTCTTCACATGTTGCTTTGTTTTCAAAAGCCTGCCTCCAAAACTGTTATTAGCCACAAATATGGTGCTGTTCAGCTTTTAGCTACGTATTGTTGTCTTCTCCTGGCTTATGCATCAGAAGAGAAATAAACAAAATGATGAAAATTTTTGATAGGAACCCCTACCTCTTTAAAACTTTGCAAAACAAACAAACAAACCACAGTATGGGGTGTGTGTGGAGGATCTGAATTGGAACCAGAGTGCTGTGACTTAATTTTTAAAAAATTTAACCTACCACCAATACTTATAAATGATTTTCAAACAATCACTCAGCACCAAGCTGCTCTTTGCCCATTAGAGAAAGCATGCAGGCATGTCTCCGTACTCTTGAAACCATCATTCAAACCGATGGCTGGAGGCATGTTGTAGATGCATAAGATCCCTGAATCAGTTTCTGGAACTAGAGCATGAAGTGCAAGAAGCTCTCTGAAAGGACAGAAGGGTGTGTTCCTAACAGTTATGCCTTGCTTATCCAAGTGAGATGTATCAGATTGCCTGGCAGCCACAAAGGCCGCTGTTGCCAATCCTCCTACCACTGCCTTTGTACCAAAGAGACAGGAGATCCAACCCCTGATCTCTCATCTAGTTTTGATGTCTATGGGCAAGTGGTGTAATTTGTGATAGGAGGAAAGTTGTTTCTATCCTACACCTCCTTGCAGAGAGAGAGAGAGAGAGAGAGCATCAGAAAAAGGACTGTTGTTCTATTGTAGTTTACCATATAGTGTCCTTGAAAACCATTTCAAAGCTACCTCTAGAACTTCAAAAAGGAAGTAAAAGCTGGACCACAGAGGAACTTTGTGACACATACAAACTGTCTGAACTGCGCCTGGGTATGTATAAAGCCTATAAGCAACTGAAAATGTAAGCCACATCATCAAGAGTATAAGCCAGTAGCAATCCTTGTTGTCCAGTAGCACAATTTTCACTGTCACAGGATCTGCTAACAACATAATTCATACGATAGTTCACACTCAACTGTTGATCTTTAAAAACGAATTAAGAATTTAATGTACAGTACTTTGAATGGGATCTAACGAAACGGACCTTCCACAGACTCTTCTAACCTGGCACTGCTTCAGGAAGGAAAGAGGAACAGTGGTTTTCAGCACCACTGCTTGCAACTGGAAGCCACTACAAAGCCTGGGCACTGGCAAGGCCTCTAGATTCTAGGAGCCTCCCCTGGGATACACAAGTTCTATTTGGCCAGACCATTTTCGTTTTAGAAAACTTAGTGGAAACAGAAATAGATGTCAGCAGACACTTGTGTTGTGGTAAACAGAATTAGCACCTCATCTACTGTTCATGCAATATAGGCTAACACGCAAACAAACATATATGTATATACATTGTTGATTCACTTCTTTGCTCCCAGGTATCTTTACAACAAAATAGGCCTTTGGAAATCACTATCTGGAGGCAACAGAGGCACATCAGGTACATCAAAGGAGTGCAAGGAAGGAAAAAGGAAGCCTGTACTTACATTGAACTCACAGAAATCAAGGCTATCAAGGCTTTTGCTTCGATGTATTCTCCCTTTTATTCTTCTTAAAGAAGGCTTTCCTTGGCTTATGCTACAATTAGAACCACTGGGATTTTCAGAAGATGGTGTTACCCTACAGAAAGAAAGAATTGTACTTTAGGGTTGTTGTTATTGTTGTTTTTAAGCAGTAAATATTTTATCTTTTCACAAATACTACAGAGACCTGAGGTCTTTGCCTCCCAGTGTTCTGTTATCTCACAGCCTAAGTATTTGTAAAAATTAACCAAGTGCAGGTTCTGTCAGTTTCCCCCAACTCCACCTTCTTCCCCCTCTTGTGTTATGTTTCCTGTGTCAAGTTTTAGACTGTAAACTTCTTGGAGCAGGGATCAGCACGCTGAACAAAAAGGGTGCTATCTCAGTGCAAACCGCTAGATATACAGTCAACTGAGCAAGCAAGCAAGCAAGCAAGCAAGCAAGCAACATTGGGTTTTCTCATATCACTTCCCAATGCATTCTAATTCTTTCCTATGAGCTGCGATTCATCCAAAGAAGCCCAGCAAGATGAAGCAAGGTATAGGGTATGTGTGAAGAACCTCCAGTTTTCTAAAGCACTGCTCATTTGTGCTGATTAGGGTGAATGCCAAGGCATGTTATTTTCACTGTGTTATTGCTTTGGCTGTCCCCAGCAGGACATCCAACCCAAACTCTAGTTCTACAGCCAGATACCTAACTCACTGAACTATCTGCTAGTGATTTTATTTGATTTATAAGATTTACAGAAAGCCCTCCAGCAACACACCTATAGTGGTTTATAAAAGATGGGGAATACTAAAATCAAAATTAAACAAGAGTATTTGGAAACAAAATATGGCCATCCCACCAAATCTACATGAAGCTCTACTAAACATGGAAGAATTTTGTTCTGCAATTGCCCATGAACACTTTACTTAAAAAAAGTTACAACTTACTGCCTCCCTGAAGAGATCAGTGCTCACTCTTTTTGGCCAACTAATGTTAAAGCCACCCAGAGGGGCGTTAATTCATTGTGCGGTATTATTGTCTTCATCTCTTGTTCTCTTATGATAGAATGTTTGTAAATGAACCAATTTTCTCTTTTTTACTTTTGTTAAGTGCCTAGTTTCAGCAAAACATGGAAAAAAGCAAACTGACTGTACTGTAGGCAAAATAACCCAACAAACTAATTTCGTAATTGAATTTTTGAAGGTGAGCAATCAACACATATCCACTCAAAAGTTTGGGGTTTGTGAACAGAACAGGGTTTTTGTTTTGTTTTGGCCAGATGACGTGTCTGCAGAGATAATCCCAACTTTCTTCCACATTGACAGCTGTAGAATCCCTACCCCTTGAAGATGTGAATGGTGCTGATTTTTGCCTCATTTCAGTGTCAAATTAAAGTTTATCACTTCAGCTAGGCATTTGGGGTCCAACGGTCACTCTCACCGAGTGTTTTATATTTGGCAACCCCCTCTAGATCCCTAGATATAGGGTGGAATAAGTTTCTAGACAGTGCATGTCCAGGCTATCTATAGCCTTTTTACAATGAGAGTGAAAGAGAGAGAGGGAGAGGGAGAGACTAGGATGGAGACACTTGTCTTAATCATCCTCTGACTTCTTATACACATCCTCTGTGGCAACTATAATTAGCCATTCTTGGGGACAGGAGGTTCCTCTATTATGTCTCCAACTGATCTGACCTGAATGTGGATGTTATCTTCTTATTAACAGCACGAATGATAGCAGGATCAGATTAACAGGCATCAAGGCTCTCTGCGTCAGAGCTGCCGGTCATTGTTCACCAAAAATAAAGGGTAGCTGGGTACCACCATCTTGTTGTTGTTATTCAGTTATATTTATATCCTGCCTGCATCTATGTGGCCTATAAGGTTCTCCCCTCTCCCATCTAATCTTCAAAACCACCCCAATGAGATAGACCAAATGGTGACTACCCCAAGGGCACCCACTGAGTTATATGGCTTAGTGGGGCTTGAATTTAGATCTCCTAAGTTTGAGGGCAACACTCTTTCACCATGACTCCTTCATAATGATGACAAAGATGATGGTGATGAACAGTAATACACCCCCTCCTAATACACAGGACAAAGCCCTCATAAAGTGGATTACAATTTGTCTAAAAATGCAGAATGCACAAACACACTCTAAAAGTAATATGGAATGTACAAATGACTAAAACAGCAGGAGCTGGTAACACCTTGGCTAATTTTAAAACCCCAAATGTTCCTTTCTTCTCACCCACTTTCATCTATTTTTTTCATGCCCAATCTGTGTATTTTTATGTGCATTTTCATAAAGTCAAGATGCACAAATAATATATACACTACAGATTGACAATACAAAGTTGAATTCACCATATACGTATACTGTTTATACAAAAAACAATATATAATGATCAGTAAGATTTTGAGTAAAGATATAAACCAAACTACACATTTCTCCAAAAGCGGAAAAACAGAAATATTACAGGGAAGAATTAATGCTGTGTATACAGTATAGTCCTTGCACCATGACTGTTGCTGTTTTGTGCTATCAAGTCTCTTCTGAGTTACAGCAACCCTAGCAAGTTTTCAACGGAATGATTTGCCATTGCACTACCAGAGTTTTAATGACTGAGTGGAAAGTTGAATCCCCAGATCTTCTGCATCTTAGTTTGGTGTTATATCCACTACACCACACTGAGTCTAGTGGTTACTCCTGGCATACCTCAAAAATTTCCACTCTTATCAGGCCTTATTAAATTCCTGAGTTGTCTCCTTGGCCCACAACTTCCCAAATTGCTTTATATTCAATGTCAGGTCTTTTCACAGTTAAAGCAAAAGTGATAAGGTCAGTTAGACTCAACTGAGCATGATCGGTACACCTCACGGACACCCACAAGAAGGAGAAAGAGTCCAGCTGACTGGCTGTAGAACAGTTTCTGTATTTACATTTATTCATTTTTCATGTCTGTAATGAGAACACTGTGATGTTCATTAAAATAATGACTGGCAACACTGGTTAAAGGAAGAACAGTGGCTCCACAAGCATTCTCCAATGTAAATTATGTTTGCATAAGCAAATTTCACGCCCTCCAGAACAAGAAGCCTTTGCCTGATGGTGCGGAGAAAGATGGCAGCCAAGGGAAATGATATGGCTTCTCGTGGCCTCCTCTTTGGGCCCATTGCCCAGGTGCTTGGAGAGATGCCCTGTCTCCTAACTAGACTTCCAGGGTCAGTAGAGTCATTTTTTTAAAGAATAGACAGGAGCAGAGGGATAGCTGGATCTACAAGATCTGGGGGTTTGCAGTAGATCAGTAGGAATAGCTGTCTCCCAGGATTATGTGTCTCTCAAATGTTTGTAATCTTTATTTATTTGAGGCATTAACATCCTTTCTTATAAGAAGACAAAAAGGGTGTATGCATGTCCCACCTTCAAGAATCCTCACAATAACTCTGTTAGATACATCAGTTAAGACGGGGTGAGTAACATAAGGCCACCTATTGAATTCTATAGACAAGTTGGGATCTGAATCCATATTTCACAATAGCAACTCAAAATAACTTGCCCTACCACAACATCCTAAACTGTACTCTGAAAATGAAGAAAGCTTGGTGTGGCTAAATGTGGATTCGGAAGTGGAAAGACAGTGAGCTTTGTTAATTTTGATATTAAAAATAAACCCTTAGGCTCAGAATCACTTAACACTAATTTCCTCTTCATCATTTGGTGGATTTGGATTTCAAACCAAACCAAACCAAGACCTTGTAAACCTGAAGTCTGTGTACCTTTGTCCCTGAGTTCTTTCCTGGCAGCTCTTGTATGGCAAAAGGAGGCTCAGAACACACACACAAAATCTGTAAACTCCAGTAATGAGAGCGAAGAACACTCTGGCATCAAAATCAGATCATGTGTAAACCAGTAGTGGCTCAGTGTGGTACCTCATCCTGGTTTCCCATCTCTTCCTGCTTCTAACATCTGCAGAATACATAAAGGCAATGTAAACCTGCTATTTCACCTTCACAAGGTGAGAGGGATATAACTTTAGTCACAGTTCTAATACAGAATTCTGAAAATGTAAAACTGCCTTCAACTGCATTATATCATTCATTGGTCCATCAAATTCAGTGTTATCTGCTCTGACTGGCAACACTTTTCTGAGGTTGCAGGAAAGTAAGAATCTTTCTCAGTGTCTAAAGCATGATTCTTAAAACTATCTTGAACTGGGATGATTTCACTTTTACATCTCTGGGGCAAGCCTAACCTTAGAAACCTTCCTGGAAGAGGTGCAGGTCCCCGGGAATCGGCTATACTGCAGGGAGTACTCAATTTACCTTAGCATGCCACAGGGCAATTTTATACTGCAGTATTTCAGGTCTGCAGCTAACAAGCTAACCTGGCAATGTTAGGCTGGAGTGTGACCAAACAGTCCCAAGAGTTGTCTTGCAACACTTGATCTCTCTGAAGGAGAAGCATTTTGTCTGAAAGAACATGCCAAGATGTTTGGCATCTATTGCTTTCTTTAGTGATACCAAATCAACAACAACAAAAAAGATTTAGTCCATTAACTCCTCAAATGGTCAGGTGGTATACTTCAGTAGTATAAGAAAAGACTATACTTCAGAATGATCCAAAAATGGATCTTTGAACCATTACCGCAAACGCAAGGCATAGAAACCTTGTACTGTACTGTATTGAGTTTTGTAACTTTTTACAGTGTTAGGTGAGGCTTCTATAGGTACAAATCTGTACTATGTTGGTTTTTATGCTGGAACACCAGATTCAATGTATAAAAGCAAAAAGGTTATATGGAAAGAAATTCAAATAAGAGAGAAATAAATGTAACAGTAACTTTTCAAATGTGGTTTTCAAGTGCTGCTGTAAATTTAACCTGTCACTACATGATGGTGAATAGTTTCATGTAATGATTTTATGGCATTTGATTTCAGACAAATAATAGTAGGAAGTTAATTGGCAATATTTGACTGATCTTCTAATCAACCCAGCAACCTTAAACAAAACAATTTTGTTTAGGCAATTTACCGGTAAGAAAAACAGACCCACTGAGTAATTGCTCCTAGAAATTATGTATGTAGTCCACTGCGAATTGGTATGTCAGAA